AAAGTCCGCCCTCCTCCAGAGCAGCCAGAACATGGGGGGCAGGTGGGAGGGATCCCCGGTTAAGAAAACAGAAAGGACTTGCCCCAGAATAACAGAATAGTCACCAACAGTTATTAAGGCTTAGAGGGTACAGGCAAGCATTTTGCACCTATTACCTAATTTACATTTTACAACAGCCCCATGAAGGAGTACCGTTATTTGGTTCCTTTGCATAGGTGGAAATGGAGGCACAGAGAGACAAATATACCATCCCCAAAGCCACATAGATAATGAATGATAAGGTGGGATTGGAATCCAGTCTGCACAGAGTGAAAAGGAGTTGTTGAATATTCAGTTATTCTGAGCAAGTTACCAACAGAATTTGTTGCGTGTTAAGCACATGGAATAAGAAAATTATTTACATAGAATGAGTTGAAAAGATGAATAAAGCTCTTGTGAAACTGCCAGACTTGAGCCATCTGGTTGACCTGTGTGATGAACTAGGTAATCTTGGGGAAGTCTGCTCTGGTGGTGCAGGAAAGGGCTGGAGCACGTTCCGCAGGCTGGGGACATCAGAGGCCTCCGGTTCCCCACTGGCATCGCAGTGCTGACCCAGGGGGAGCCTTGTGACAACCTGGTGGTAAGCAACTAGGGAAATGGGTCTCTGGGAGACGGCAGGTGGCCCTGACTGCCTCGTGGGCCTCTTTCCTCCTCACTTTCCATTTTGCCCTCCGCACATGGCCGCATTGGCCACCGTTCAACATGCCTCGTCCTTTCCCATGTGGGGCCTTTGCACTTACTGTCCCCATGACCTGAAACTCCCTTCCCTAGACCTGCACTGGGTTGGATCCTTCTTGTCATTCAACAATCAGCTTTGCTGTCACCTCTTCAGTGAGGCCACCTCGGACCACCTCTGACGTCTCTCCACTATCAGACTCCCCACTTGACCTCAGGCCTCCACGGTCTAGCATCTTGTTTGTTTTTTTTCAGCTCTCTGTGACAAATTATAATTATCTGTCTTATGTACCTGTTTATTTGTGGTCATGCTTCCCCCATCTAGAATGCATTTCCATGAGGACAGAGGCCGCGTCTGTTTTGGCCACTGCTGTCTTCCAGCTGCTGGAACTGTGCCTGGCACTGATGTGGTTATGCATTGATGAAAGAATGAATGTGCCATGAGTGGAGTCATGGGCATTTTACCCATGTTCTCAGTGAATTTCAGGGTTGAGAAAGGTGAGAGGGCACAGTTTAGATTTAGGAGAAATAATTACACATGGTCTGTCCCAGGTTTCCCATGGACAAGGCCCCTTTGCCTTTTTCCTCTTTAGCTCCCTTCACTGCCAAGTTCCTCTATGGGCTCATTGCCCACCCCAAGGGGAAGGTCCCTACCCAGGGGTTCCGAAGGTGAAACCACCTAAAGGTGACCAGAGCTGGTGTGTCCTCTATTGATGAACATTTGGCATTTCCAATATTTTACTATTTTAAAAATGCCTTAATGAATATTCTTATACATTTGTCACTTTTCACATGCATGGTGTACTTGTGGGATAAATGCCTAAAGATGAATTTTAGGGACAAAAGACCTATACATTTAACATGTGTTTGTTGGCTACTTTCCTCACCCTCATTCCCTGAAGCAACAGTGAAGTAGAGACCATTAGCTCTTTCAACAGCTAAGTCTTTAGAGGGATGTTATGATTCCATTGGTTATAAGCAACAGAAATCAATTCTGGTTAGTTAGCTAAATTTTTAAAAAGCAGGGAATTATTGAAAGAATATTGGAGCATCTCACGGAATCCATGAAATTGTTGAACCATGAGACTTGGGGAAGTCCAAGAAACTGGACCACCCTGGTGACCTCAGTTGTCCTCAGATGCTCTCTGCCTTGGACCTGATTCTGTTGCAGGGACCCCCTGGCTTTAGGCACCTCAGCTCAGAATTCTTAATAACCAGGTGATTAGTCTGGTTAGGTCAGGAGCTGTCCCTGCATTAGTTAGCAATGGGGAGAGGCTCTTATTGGCAGGCCAGGCTGAGGGACCCACCCATCTGCCTCCAAACATGGAGCTGAAGTTGGGAGCTGGGTGGCCACTGCAAGAGGTGTGCGGTGCCACAGTAAGAAAATAGCAATTCTAAATCAGCTTGCTCTGCTAAGTTGTTACAAGAGTGCAGAGTTGGCGGCTCACTGCTGGTAGGGAGGGGATTTCTTTAAAAGTATAATGTTTATCACACTTTGAAATAATGAAAAGGTGATTTGCATGAGTTTTCAGGAGTGAATAATATTGAGCATATCATGCTAAGTGAAATAAGTCAGATGGAAAATGTCAAGAACTGTATGTTTTCACTTATATGTGGGATATAAAACTGCAAGCAATAAATGAATAAACAAGATAAACAAAAACTCATAGATGCAGATAACAGTATGGTGGTTACCAGAGGGAAAGGAGGGGGGGAGGGTAGAAGAGGATCAAGGAGGGATAAATGGTGACAGAAGGAGACTTGACTTTGGGTGGTGAACACACAATGCAATATGCAGATGATGTATTATACAATTGTATGCTTGAAGCCTATATAACTTTATTAACCAAGTGTCACCTCAATTAATTTAATAAAAAATTTTATTAATAAGGAATGAATGGTGACTGTGGGGACTGGATTTCTTGATCAGCAAATCTGATCAGGACTGTTGTGTTGTTTTGAGATATGAAGAAGCAACCCTCCATTCACTGGCGTTAGGCATTTGACAAGAAGCTCACTGTCATGGAGAAAGTCAAAAGTGAGTGAACCAAAAAGGCGCCCTCACTTTCAATGGCAGCAGTGAGGAAAAGGAAGTATAAGAAGCCAGAGACTGGAGCCTGGCCTGATCCATCCCTGTGAAAACTCATCTAACACCTGACCTGTTTCTTCCTCAGGCCCAGGCTTCCCCGGGACAGAGAAACAGGTTAGAGATGGTGATAGATGGACTGTGAAAATGGTCACTGTTCTTCACATTCCCCAAAATATCCACACCCTTTGCAATGTGATCTTGCAGCTCCTTTTATCAACAACTGAGATATATTTCCCCATCCTTTTGGGTAGATGTGTGACTTGATTTGATCATTAACTGTGTTGGGAGTAATGACAGACCAGCTCAAAGCCAGTTGACCCCCAAGTGTGAAAGAGACACAGCCAAGATGAACAGTACTGTCTATTCAATACACTCTGACCACAGACACATGTATGAACCCAGCCAAGACAAGAAGCACCCGACTAACCCAGAGATTACTAATATATGCTATCTGTTTAATGCCACTGAGTTTGGTGGTGGTTTGTTACGCAGCAGTACAGAACACAGAACAGCTCAGCCAGGCCTGGGGTTCAGAAAGAGCAGCTGCCATTGCACTCACTGCCACCATTCTTGGGCACACAGCATCTGTTAAGGGTGTATTCTTTCCTAACACCCACATTTTGTCAATATGCACTGTATTCTAATACACTGGCCCCTGTTTAAATGCCCTGGGGTATATAATTGGTCTAAGCTCCTAACAAGCTTGGGATCTAAACTGCACCTCCTTTAGAGCCTCCTAGACCAATGAATCCATTTCACCCCAGAGGGAAGTATTTCTAGGTGAGGCTTTCAAATGACAACAATTGAGATATGTTGAATGAACTTATATCCTGCTCAGCTTCAGGAATTTAAGACAGGATTCATATTCACACAAATCTGTGTATCTCTTTTGAAACTATGACTTCATATCCACCAGACAGCTCTCCTCTCTTCAAAATGTATAACTCTTTGAAGGCACAAAGATAAAGATGAAGTCTCCAGCTGTCTACACATCCAGATGGAGCCGAATCACAGCTTACCTCCAGCCAATCAACTCTGTGGTCTTAGTTTTCTATTTCACTTTCAAGTTCAGAATATTCAGATACCTTGTCATTTCAATAGAGAACCATCTTATAAATTCTGGGGAAGAGTAGGGTTGGTTCAAGCTGGATTCTCAGAGCCCCTTAATTTCAAAGAAGTATTTGTTCTGAGAAAGCTGTTTTCTGGGTCTTTCCCACAGCCTAGACACTCATTTGCATTCCACTGAACCAGGCACATACAACATGCAACCTCCTTAAAGAATTTACATATGAGATATACAGGCAAGTAAACAAGCAACTGTGATATGGAGAGAGAAATGCAGAGATGGAGGAAGTCCTGGGCACAGTGGGAATGCAGTGATGTGGCCTCCACTCCAGTCTTAGGGGGTGTGCGTAATGGAAGTAAAGAAAGTCTTCCTGGAGGAAGTGATATCTACACAGAAGTTAACCAGCAGGAGTTAAATAGACAGGAAGACAGGGGAAGGAACATCCTCAGGAGAGGAAGAGTTTGCACAAAGGTCCAGTAGCATCTGAAGTCAAGGCCTTTTTAGGGGATAGAGCCAGAATGGAGAGTTCTAGAAGGAATCTGGTGAGAGGTATTGCTGGAGTCCCAAGTGAAAACCAGCCCAAGAGGGCCCCTGCAAGTCTCCCTAAGGAATATGGATTCTATCATGGCGACCACTGGGAGGATCTTGGATTTGTGCGTTAGAAAAATCAAAGAGGCTGCCAGGAGGAGAGGGGTCAGAGGGAGCCCCACTGGGAGCAGTTAGGAGGCATTGGGAATGCCCAGTGCTCACCTCCTTCTGTCTCATCTCTCCTGAGTAGGGGCAGGCGGTGGAACAAGCAGCAAAGGTGGGTACTTCCCATGTGTGCCTACCAAGAGGGGGCCATTTTGGGCCTGGACATCTGCTGTAAGTAATCAGACTGAGGTCAGTGATAGTAGTATTGGACATGCTGCCAGCCAGCATCAAGTAAACAAGATCCCTAAGCGCAATGCTGTATAACAAGTAGCAAAATTCAACAGTCATTTGTGGTTCTTCAGACTAACCTCAAATTTTGGATTTTAATCAGTGCATACAAAAGTTTCATGAGAAAAATGGACGAATGATGACAAAGAAAGGAACGTTTTGCTTCACCAATAGATTTTATTAGCAATAAGATCCAGTGGTCACATGTGAGCAGGCTCCTAACATGGAGTAAGGGTGAGCAGCACATCCTCCCTTACAGTTGACTGACTACAGAAGTTGTACCTGTGGAGAGAAGACAACGAAAAGTCAGCTCCTGCGGCCCACAGCCTGTGTGCTGCGCACGGGGCTGGGCTCTGCTCTCCCCTCCATCCGAGGGGGGAGCACACCGTGAGCCTGGGGCCAGACAGTGGTGGAGGGAAGACCCTTCTTCCGTGCAAAGGACCAGGTTCTCTTTGCTGATGTTGTTTCATGGCCATGCAATAGCAGACAGAGGAGATGTCATTGGATACCTCAAGACAGGGAAGACTCCTTTGTAACATTCTAAAAGCACCTACTAAACACTTGGCACGTTGTCAACCAACACAACTGAGGAAGAGGAAGGCCAGCAGTGCGACAGGAAGTCAGTGGGAGTAAAAGTTCTGCGGCTCTGGGGTTACATTGGCTAGACATTCTTACTTTAATCCAGAAACTGAACTAAAATGATTAAGTGTGCTAAGACTGAAGAGTACCTGGGATGTTTGGGGGCTAATTTTCTTTAACATAAAAGCATATATAAGTTTCCTAGCACATAAAAATCCTTGGAAAATGGTCTTTGCTCCTCATCTTCACATCCTTTCCTGTAGTCTGATGGTGGTAACTCACAAATGGCAAATTAATGGTTAAAAACTAATATTGATAAAGAACACAAGAAATGAAGGCCGTACGATAACTATATATGAACAAAGATGGACTGAATTTGTTTGTGGTAGTTAAGAATTTGCTGCAGTCAAATTGCCTGCATATGAATTCTGGCACTAAGGTTTCATTGGATTATCTGTAAAATGGAGCTAGTAAGAGAATCTACCTCCAATCTTCATACCCGAGAGGGTAAACCTATCTATCACCCCCAAATTTTCTTCTTGCCCTTATTTAATATTTCCTTTCTATCCTTTTTCATCTTCCCCTTCCCCAGGCAACTACTGATTTGCTGTCACTATGGACTCATTTCAATTGTATAGAATTTTATATGAATTGCAGTCAAAGGTATATGCACTCTTTTGTCTAACTTCTTTTATTCAATATAATTTTGTCAGTGTAATTACTTTGAGATTCACCCATTTGGTCACATGTATCACTAGTTCATTCCTTTTCACTGCTGAGTAGTATTTCAATTTGTTTACCTATTCTCCTGTTGGCGAGTGTTGGGATATTTGTGGCTTTTGACTATTGCAATAAAAGCTGTTATAAATATTCATGTACAAATCTTTGTAAAAACACACGCTTTCTTTTCTTTTGGGTAAATACTTAAGAGGAGAATGGATGAATCATAGGAAGGTATATGTTTCAATTTTTAAGGCACTACAAAACTGTTTTCCAGAATTATTACATTATTTTATATTCCCATCAAAAGTGTATGAGAATTTAAGATTCTTCACATTCTCACCAACACTTGATATTTTCAATCTTTTAAATTTTAGCCATTTAAATAAATTTATGGTATTATACTATGGTCTTAATTTGAATTTCCCTAATAACTAATGTTATATCTTTTTCTGTCCTGTCACTTTTAATATATCCATGTTTTTATATTTAAAGTGCATTTCACATAAGCAGCATACAATTGAGTTCTGACTTTTTAAAAATATCCAGTTTTAATCTCTGTCTTTTAATTGGTGTAGTTAGAACATTTTCATTTAATACAATTATTAATATGGTTAGGTTTAAGTCTATTATCTTGCTCTTTGTAACCTATATCCTCTGTCTTTTTTCCTCTTTTTATGCCTTACTTTTTAAAAATGTCACTTTATCTCCTTTGTGGGCTTATTAGCTAGAGTTTCTGTTTTATTATTTTAGTGGTAGCTTTGGAATTTATACCATGTATTTTAACTTATCACAATTTACCTTCAAGTGATATATCGATTCACATTTGGCATAAATACATTATGATAGGATATTTCCATTTCTCTCTCCTACTCTTCATGGTACTGTTATCATATATTTTACACATACATGTATTATAACCCTCCCAAATATTGCCATCATCTTAAATTAGTCAATTATTTTTAAAGATTTAAGTAATAATATTTAACAACCTAATGTGTTTTTCAATGTAGTTTTTTTAGGCTCTTAGTTCCTTTGCAGATTATTTTCAGCTGGTATAATTGCCTGCTCCCTGGAGATCTTCCTTTAACATTTCTCACTATGTTGACCTCCTGGCAATAAATTCCTGCAGCTTTGGTGTATATGAAAAGTCTTTATTTTACCTTCATCTTTGAAATACATATTTGTGGGTATAGAATCCTAGATTAACAGTTTTTTTCTTTTCAATACATTAAGGATATTGTTTCATTGTCTTCTCACTTGCATTGTTTCTGATGAGAAATTTGCTGTAATTATTGTCCTTATTTCTCTTTTTTTCCTCTGGCTGCTTTCAAGATTTTTCTCTTTATAACTAGTTTTGAGCAATTCAATTTTGATGTGTGTTGGTTAGTTTTCTTTTTGTTTCTTGTTATATCACTTAGATAAGTTGGTTTATAGTTTACACCAAGTTTGAAAATTTTGGAGCCATTATTTCTTCAAACATATTTTTTTGTTTCCTCCTTTAGGGTTTTCAATAAGAACTATAATACACTTCTTGAAGTTATTTTAATGTTCACTGATGTTCATCCCATTTAAAAATCTTGTTCTCTGTGTGTTTATTTTGGGTAGTTTCTATTATATCTTCAAGCTCACTAATCTTTCTTCTGTAATGTCTAATCTGCTTTTAATAGCAGTGTACAAGGTGGGGAAAAAGTAGGTTCACAGTTCATAAAGAAAAATAATACAATAATTAATAAATAATAATACAAGAATAAACTGTGTTTTGCATACTCACAACTGTAAACCTAGTTTTGCCCTACCTTGTTTTTGTTTTTTTTTTTTAATTTCAAATGCTATTGTTCTAGAAATTCAACTTGGGTCTTCTTTCATATATGCTATGCCTCTAATGACCTTCTGAACAAATGAAATACAAGTTTAATAACTGTTTTAATGCCTGTGTCTGCTCTTATAATATTTGTTTCAGTTCTTGTTTGGTTTCCATTTATTGACCATTATCTTCATCAGAGGGTGTATTGTCCTGATGTTTTTGTATACCTGAGAAACTTACTTAATGCCATAATGTGTGATTTTTAGTCTGTTTGCTGCTGGATACTTTTATATTCCTATAAATTCTCTTAGGCTCCATTTTGGGTTGCAGTTAAGTTATTTGGAAACAATTTGAAACTTCCAGGTCTTGTTCAACCTAGGCTAATTATTTCTTGTGACTGAGGGAGGACTTTCCTAAATATTCTACCCAATATTTCTTGACTTATGAACTTTTCCAATTTGGCTAGTGGAAACAGGCTACTCTTCCCATCTCTGCAAAATCACTGGGTACTATTCTCTCTAATCCTTTCAGATGGATATTTCAGTGGCTTTGGTTAATTTCTTCACATATGTGTCCTGATCAGTATTCTGCTGAATATTCGAGGGAAGTTTCCAAATTTTTGAGATTCTCTCTCTAGCTCTCTCCTCTCTGACACTACATCCTTTGAAATCTAGTTGCCTTGGGTTTTCTGGATTATTGGCTCTGTCTCCTTAACTCAGGGAGTCCACTAGACCCTGTCTGAAGTTTTATTTCTTGTGTGACATACTGAAAACACTCTCCAGGCAGTAAGCTAGAACAATTGCAAGGTTCCACCTTATTTGTTCTTTGTCTTTCAGGGATCGCTTTCCTTTATTGCCTAATGTTCAGTGTCTAGAAACTGTTATTTTATATACTTTTTGTCTGAATTTTAGTTGTTTTAGTTGGGAAGGTAAATTCAATCACTGTTACTCCATCTTTGCCAAAAGCAAAAGCCCCCTCTTTGCACTTTTGTGGAGACTGAATGGCACGATGACAAAAGAAGCATAGCACTATGCCTCAGAATTTGGCTTTATATTCAAAACATGGGGCTCATATTGGTTTTGTTATGGTTGTTATCATCATCATCAGTTCACTTTTTCTGCTGGTTCATCATGGTAAATATCTTTGGCTCACATATACACTTCAGTCTTGGTTAGAACCAAAGGCTGACCTTGTCTTCACTAAGAGGGCCAATGATCCAGAACAGTCCATTTGTATTCCTTGATAAGTTGTTTTCCTCATGATTTTAGTGGCGATTTAGTGAACCCAAGACATTTGGAGGAGATACACATATTAAGCACACACATAGCACAAGGCACAGTTGCTAAGTGAAATCATTCTTCTCATCTTAGATCATGAAATCAGATTCTCATTCTAAGACGACTTGCATTAGATAACATAACACTCATCTACAGATCTATCAAAGTCGTGTTCCTACAGGTCTACACTTTCTCCTAAAGAAATAAAAGGTATTAGGACACAGCTGTGGGTGGGATGTAGGAGAAGCATTGGAGGAGATTTAACTTAAAGCTGCAGTGGGACTGGAACTATAAATGTGATTCAATATGTCAAATCTCTTTGGATTTTTATTACTTACAGTTTTCCATCATTTCTTTCCACTGTGATCTGGGATGCTCCCACTTTGGGGAGAGTTGGGTTGATGATATTGTTATACCAAACAAATTTAACCGTCTGCAAATCTCCAACATCCACATCTGAGTCAATTTCATTGGAATGAATACTGTCTGGTCGGAGAACGCCCCTTGGGAGTTAAAAAGTTAATAAAAACGTACATGAACATATGTAAATATACATATAAATATATATATATGTTTCTAAAACCAGCTTACAATGTATCTCTAAGTTGATGATTGATAGTACATTTGTCATCCTAATGTATTAAATAAGTGCAGACATGTATGCTAATTCAATGGTAGTTTGTATGCCATTAATTACTCATATTGCTTTAAAGTCATCCTTACTTTAATAACACTTCAAACATGTTTTAGTCATAATCTTCCCAATAGTTAATAAATGATGACATCATATATATCATCTTTTTCCAGTTACTTTGGACAGAATAATTATTTATTGATTATAAATCAGATGCCACTCATCAATGTAAACATCAGGGGCTTTCTCAGAAAGCAGAGAAAAAAATTAGAAGCAAAATTCTGAAATGTATTAAGGTGCATGGGTGAATTAATCTCTTCCTTTCGATGATAAGTGGCAATACCATATGCTCAGATAGTAATGAATAAACTTTTATGTCCATAATAGACATTGAATGTGTGGGTTATTCCAACATTTAAGAAGCTTAGAGTTATAGTTTACTTACTTGAAAACTTCATACTGCTTGGAGTTTCCTTTTTCTCCAAATAAAGAAACTAGCACATGTCCTCTCACCTTCTTCCCAGACAGAGTAATGGTCACCTTATACCTCCAGCCTGCATGAGAGGTGGGCGAGGATTGGCACAATGTCACTTGCAGAGAAGATACTGAAAACTGACTGCCTGGAATTCCACTACTGCTGAATTCTGAATAATTTATATATGGCATTCGTAGTTCTTCTAATAGTCATAGACATTCCTTTTATCTCAATATTCAGACAACAGGCATTGGGGGAGGGCAAGAGAAAAAGTAATATATTTTGCTTTCAATGTTTTAACCTAACAGTTTATTCCTAAATCTTAAAAGGACTTTATGTTAAAATGTAAGTAGAAAATAGTAGACTATGACATTTTTACCAATTTACTTCACTTTCATAGATTATCACATTTTACAGTACTCTCATCTTTTTCTAAATAGTCTACATTTATTTTAAGAATTTGACAATTCAGCTTTCCATTGCCTTTGGAAATGTATTAATTTGTGGTAATCAATTTATGGTACTTGTCAATAGTAAACTACCAGGTTTTTTTGTTTTGTTTTTTACCATTTTGAGCTAATGCGGGTTATTGGGGGGAGGGATAAAATTTGGATTTAGTTTTTACAGTGCAGCTAACCTCACCGATTCCCAACCAACCAGTTTTCTTTCTCTATTAGCTAGAAGAGAGACCTACAGTCTGTCCCACGTTCCACCTCTAATTCTCCGCACCCACAGTCTGCAATCCTAAATATCTCTTGAATCTGCCAGTTCCTTTCCATTCCCACATCCTCTGCCATCTTGCTCCTGGATTACTTTTCTCTTTGTACGAAACTTCAGAATTTTGCTCACTGAAGCTTTTGACTGCATATGAAGAGGCTGGAGTAGAAGAAGCTTCCTATGTTCAGCACGAGAATCAAATATGAAGAAATGTATTTTTGTTTCATTCATAGTTCAGTCCCTAAACGCTGTTCTACCATCCAAATTTGCTGAGCACAGCATTTGGATATTTTTCCACATTGGGGTGGGGTGTTTAAAAAACTTTTGTACAGAAAAGGAATTCCACACATTTTTACTGGGCATGATAAAATACATAGCATTAAGAATTTAAGGCATATCAAATAGAGACTTACGGGCAAAATTGCTGGCATCACCAGTGTTTAGATAAAAGCTCTGGCCTACTTCCTTTGTTTTCCCAGGAAATCTGTCAGCATAATGACCCATCTGCGGGCAGCCTTCACTTGGACAGGGGAAGCACTTGTTCTAGGGAAAATAAACGAGTAATGAACGATGATGCTGTTTCTTATAAGAGTGTGTCATCTTTCTTTTCACGTTACAATTCAAATACTCTAAAGGCAATTCTGTTCTTTTTTTTCTCTTCATTTTTATTTTTTGTTCAAATATGTTTGTCTCCATCTTCCCGCCATCCCTTTCCCCTGCCTCCCTCCCTCAATCCTTCCCCACTGTGGCTTTGTCCGTGGGTCTTTTATACATGTTCCTTGACTTGACCCTTTCCTTCCCTTAAAGGCAATTCTGTTCTGTTGGTAAAAGAGGACTTAACAGTGTCTCAGCAAAGGTTAAAAATGGATCTCATTATTTTACAATGATGAATCAGCAATTTCACTGTTAAAGAACACAATACTAACAAAAATATTATAAAAATCACACAAAAGAGAATTTATGTAAATATTTATATACACATATCTGAATCTTTCCCCTTTTGCCCCATTTGCCCCTTCACATCTATCTGCCTGCAGGTGGTTAGAATTTATTTTAGAAAGTTTGCAAGACACAGAGCAGGAAGTGATAATCAGCTGTTGACTGCAAAATAGGGCCCAGTGGAAAGACAACAGGTTCAAAAGTGAAGTTTTTCTCTCAGTTCCCTTAGCTCCCACTTAGCATGTGAAAGTCTAAAAAATTCAGATCTTACAATTCTGTGTGGAAAAAAAATGCTCCAGTTAGCTGCTAAAGCTTAGCCATAAGGTTGGGTCTAGAAAAGATGGATATAGGAACCACAGGCCAAGGAATTCTGGGAAGAAGAGAAGGGAAAGGAGGAACAGAGTGGGAAGGACAAACAGCAATTTCCACTATGGAAGGGCAAGGTTGCTCCACTCCTGGGTCAGTGAACTAGATGGGGACTGGGCCAAGTACTGGGTCTGCATCCAGCACAAGATAAAGAGAGGCTGAGCCAGCCAGGAGGAATGCCCACAGCTCGCTGAGGGCTTGCCTGAGCAAGAAAGCAGATGCTGCCAGAACTCATCAGCAGAAATTTACCATGGGCCCCAAGTTCTCCCTCTGGGTATATGCATGCTGACCACTGCCACCATGATCGCCTTGCCCAGGACCAGCCTGGAGAGAAAGGCTGAGGAATCAGCAAGACTGAGAGTTTTCCTTATAAAAGTGTCTGAGCATCACCTAACAGGACTGTTTGTATTATTGAGCCAGATTAAGTTTTAACTGAATGAAACCTAAAGCTTTTCTGTTTTCCCCATTACCTAGAGAATAGGGCTATAGGAAGAAGATAAAAGTAAACTTAGACCAAAGAAAGAGAGGGTGTTCTGGTTGTATATGTAAGCCATACTAGGAATAAAATATACAACACCTTCCCCAAACACACACATAATATCTCACAGCTGTTGAATGCTAATTATTATATTTTAGGTTCTGGGCTAAGCAATTAACATATGTCATCTCATTAAATCCTCCCACCAAATCTATGAAGTCTACCATTATTATTTACATTTAGAAATGAAGAAATTGCCTTAGACAACCTAAGCACTTTGCCCCAAATCATTCAGCACTTTAAAGGTGAAACCTGGATTCATATTCTCTGTCTGCATCACTAAGGTATACCTCCTTGGTAATTGTGATTTCACCTGGCATGTTACTTGAAATTTTATTCATTAAATGACATAGATTATACATATTTATTCAAAAAAATTACAGTGTAATAAAAAGCAATGAAAAATAAACAAGGAATAGATATATCATATTCAAGATCACATTTAAAGATCTTAACCTAGATATCTAGAGAATACCAAACAAGATGAAAACTGAGAAAAAAAAAAGAGAAAAACAACGAAGCAATCTTGGCAAGTATGGGATCTCACAGAAACAGCCACATGTCTGTTATTACATAGTTTTACAAGGTTAGCATTTAAGACAAGTTTTCTATGTTCATCAGCATCTTGCAGCCACCACTCAGGTTTCCATAGACTATTTTTTAACTTAGAATTACTTCCAAAACAATGTTGAATTTTACCTGACACATGCAGAAGCAAGAGAACAAGACAGATAAGAGACATTCCAGTAGACAAGCCCATTTACTGAAAATTCTCCAGTAGCTTATCATCATTAAAATAAATCTGTATGATTAAAAGTATATAGAGTGTGCCAGTCATATAGCAGCATCCACTGAATACATGTCATGGGCAGTGACCCCCAACGAGCCATAATAGTCATAAAATTCTCTTGGTGCCAGGTGGCATCTACTTACCGCAGTGAAAGCGCTGTATGAGGCACAGGGGAATCCAGTGAAGCCGTTGGGGTAGAGGATGCTATTGGCGTAATACTTGTAGCTTCTCAGGTGGTTACAGGCAACAAAGTCACGTGAGCCTTTGAAATCAGGCATGATTCCATGTCAGTGATCGATTTTATTTTTCCAACTTAATGTCATGATCAGGTTATAGTTAAGGTGTTGAAGAGACTTCTCTGATTAGTGTGAACTCATGAGGATCACAAGACAAAATCATTTATGAACTGTATGTATGACTCCTGATGAAATTAGAAGTTAAATGCTGTTTAAGATGATAACGGTTATGCCATAGCTAATGGAAAAGGGCATTTTTTTGAAATATAAAAATACCTCTTTTTTTGAAATGGAAAAATAATTTCAGAAGGGAAAGATTGGTTCATACAGATGTAACTATAATTTAGTAATGCATTCCCCGAATTCGATCCTTGAAAAGTTGACGGCAAATACATGTTCTGTCTTACAGTCTCCTCATGCCCACTTCCCCCAGTGAAAAGCCCATGTCTTGGGGATAGAATTTAAAAATCCTTTGTTATGGAAAATGTGAGGCCTGTACAATGCCAAAATATTTAGCAAGTTTAGTAAAAACAAAACACAAATTTCCCCCCAAGAAAAATCTCTCTGCACGCAATGGTCTTACCTTCCCAGATCCCCTCTATGTCAACAATCTGAGAGAGAATGTTCTTCTTACATCCGGGCATGTGGACTCCTCCATTGGGAAAGAAATCCAGGTGTCCCACTTTTTGGCTCATTCCAAATCCTGAAGATTTTAAAATATGGGAAAGATGATGTTAATGTATAGACTGAGAACCCTCTAAAATGCTCTAATGTATAAACTCGAAAAACATTCCAGGAAGACAAATTGAGAAACTCACCCATGTTGGGGATTATTGGGGCGGCGTCTGTATGAATTACATCCACAAACTGGGCATCACTGGGGTCCAATCGGACTAATTCAGGTGTCCCCTCAAAGCAAGGTTCAGCTGGATCCAACCCTAAAGTGACAAGATGTGTTGTGTCAACATCTATCCGTGTACCTGCACGCTCACCTGTCTTCATGGTGGTCATCATGAGTAATGCATGAAAGAGTTAAGCTAGTTCTTCGCTACCTCACCATTTTCTGGAGAGAACTCTGTCTAATTTACTGTTTGCATTAAAGGGAATTGTCCTCAAACCATGGAATTTTGCTTTACTTATGGATACTTAAGTCACTGAGACAATGCCAATCGCTAGCAGCAGGACAAGGAAGGAGCCAGACTGAGAGGCATGGTGCTCCTAAAAGCTGTTCAGACTAAGAGTCCCCTCTACACTCTAACCTCCCACGAGAACAAGGACTTGGCTTGCACAGCTCTGCATGGTGCTTGGCTGACTAGGCTCTCATAAACATTAAGGCAAGTACGTTCTCTCCAGCAAATTAATGACAGACATTCCCAATGCCTCCACCCATCCAAATGTAACAATTTATCCAAAGTATTAAAAAGAAAACCAGAGTTGGAGGATAGACAAGGAGAGTGGTTGTTTTCTGAGCTACCTCTCAGATGGAGGGTAGCAAAGTCTTTCTTACGAACTCACAGGGGTGTTTTAGGACCTGATTATCCAACATGTGACCCCACTGGCCAAAGATAAGTTTGTGAAGTAATATATTTTATCTAATTCATCATGCCAAACTGGCAGCCCTCGACCACCCGGCCACCTGCCTGATCCTCCACTCAACTCTTTTGGGTTGTGGTTGATGAAAATTGGGCTAATTATCAATTGCTATTGAAGCAAAATATAATTAATACAGTTTTGAGCTCTTTGGATTTAATTCTATCGATTATTTACTCTATTATTTATGCTGTTTATCCTATTCATGAAACTTATCCTTTGTGAATTCTTGAAAAAGGGTAAATAGACATGAATAAGACCTCTAGATGTTTTCAATTCACATTTTAGTCACATGCAATATTTATATGCTCAGCAGAGCTCTGTAGGCCAAAGATTGATATCGATAAAACATTCACAAGGCCTCAGCACACACTGATTTCTCATCATGTGGCCTAATTCAGAAAATATGAAAACCTGGGTCCCCTAAGGTAAGAAGTAGGCCACACCCAATTTCCATCCTCTTAGAAAGCATAGGGGCTAAATGTAGTGTAATTTTGTAGCTTTTCTATTTTGACCAACCTGTGATCCGTCCAACTGTCCCATTGGTCCTCCTTCCTGCCTCCCCAGCAGCATGGGAACCCAGGCTGTGGCCGATGATGTGGACATTGGAGGGGGAGTATCCAAATGATGACTGTTGGGGAAAAAGACTTCTTCAGAATGTTTTCACGTACTGAAACGATGGGTATGGAAGGGGAACCTCTGAAGAGCTGAGTGTTAAGAAGCTGTACTCCTCCCTTCAAAGGGATTAATTTTCATAATTTTTTTAGTTATAATAGGAAATGATGATGGTTTTAATACGTAAACTGGCAGAAGTAGGGCTTTCTTTTGTTGTTTTACTATGTAGAAAGACCCTTTGATGGATGTGAGGAATTGTTGCCTAGAGGTAGTTGAAGCAAGTATTTGGATTAGAAAATAATAATGAAGTAATTCTTTAGGCACTTTCAAGTTTAGCATTTTTGTTTGTTTTTAGTTAATAAATCAAGTTATTTTATTATCATTGTGCCTCTCTTAAAAAAGAAAATATAGCCCTGACCAGTGTGTCTCAGTTGGTTGGGAATCATCCCACAGAGCAAAAGGTCACCAGTTCGATTCCCAGTCAGAGAACATGCCTGGGTTGCGGGCCTGGTCCCAGGTCAGGGCACATATGGGAAGCAACCAATTGGTGGTTCTCTCTCAGATCTATGTTTCTCTCCTTCTCTGTCTCCTTTCTTTCTCCTCTGTCTAAAAATAAATAAATAAAATCTTTTAAAAAGTAAAAAAAGAAACAAAAAACTAGTTTAATTTTGAGGCTGATGTTATCATGTCAACTTGGTTTAATAAGGAACATATAGCAAGGACTCATGGACAAAACCAAAGGGGAAGAGCTGAGGGAGGGAAGGTGGGAGGGGGCAAGGGAAAGAGGGGGGGGGAAGGCAGAGACAAATGTATTTAAAAAGTAAATAAATTAATTAAAAAAAAAATAACTGGTAAAATTGAAAGAAATACTGGGGAATTCAGTAGGAACAACCTACCTGGTTGCTTGAGTAACACTCTATTTAAGAAAAACCAGTCTATTGACCTTCATAGGCGTATTGATGAAGCCCATATCTGGATTTTTTCTTTTTTTTGCATTTTTTTCCCAACAAAGGGGAAAGTCAAATTGGAGTTGTTTTGGTTTTTGATTTTGGTTGTTGTTCTTTGGGAGAGAACCCAGAGAGCAGCATGCATGGAATTTTACATATAAAAGTTACCTGGAGGACATTAATAAAATAAGCCACTTCTGCCCCCACGATCCGGATGTTCTGGGAGGCCTGCGTGTACGCCGTCCGGGAACCACTTTTCCAATCCACACAAATGCAGTTCACGCTTTCCACCTGGATCATGTTCTGGAGGGGGAGACACAATACACAGGGAAATGACTCAGAATCTCTATTAATTCCTAATTACTGCATTGGAGGACTGGGATTTACAATATCACGCTTGCTTTTGACCCCAAAGCAATAAACAAAACTTCTAGCCTGTTATGGATATGGATACCCTTTTAAAGTTTAACACTGACTCCACACTGGAGGCTTGGCCATAATGGGAACTTGATTCTTGGGATTTCTCCTGCAACAGTTGCATAGACATCTGTTTCTGGGAAAAACATATAAAATGTGGTACAGCGGGTTGTCTCGTTAGAGCTTCAAAATGTCATAGCAACGTCTCTTGCTAGAATGCACCTCAAGACCTCGCCTGTCTTGTTTGTTCACTGTTGTATCCTCAGTGATGTGAACAGTTCCTGGCACCTAGTAGGGGCTTAATAAATATTTATCAACTGAATAAATAAATGTATAAATGAGAGACTATGTTAGGAACTTCTTAGATAAATATATTGAAGGTAAACGGGTAATCTTTTCCATGATGGGAAAATTAATCAAAGTTTTTAGACAAAAATATTTCATTGTATATTACTAAAGAGTTATTTCACATAAAAGCATTACTGGAGAGTTCCTGGAAGCTTTGTTTGATAGGGATCCATGATAGTTATATTAATATTCAATCTGACAGGGATTTTGTTTGAGTGTGTGTTTGTACATATTCTCACCATTTTTTCAAGAATTGGAGAAGAATGAAGCAGACTTAGAAATCACTTCCAACTCTTTCATTTTAGTGATAGAAAATTCAAAGAGGGGAAATAATTTGCTAATGTCATGGGTAGAGTCACACTCCAATCTAGGACCTTTAACCTTTGAGTTTAATCCACTTTTTTCCATCACAGCGCAACAATGTTGTCAAAGCCAAATCAAAGGCAAGAAAAGCACATCTGCTTTTGAGATCTCGGAAATAAATTGTACACACATATCTCAAGGGCCACATTCCTACTGAGATGAGAATCACTTGTTTTTTCTTTACTGTTGTATAGTAATTTGTTACCCCCACCCCAAATAATCATCAACTTTAAATCATTTTAGAAGATGAGTTACAGTTTTACTGCTTATTTCTAAACCTGGGAAGTGGATTAGCCTGCTCATTGTGGCTGTCCGCAGGGTCAGCAGAAACTGTCTGGAGTTGTCTCCAGGAAGCCTTTGGCTTGACTCATAGACAGGTCTGAAATTCAACAGGATTATAACAATCTTAATGTCGTCTCTCTTGAGACCTCTGAAGAAATGACAGGCCACAGAAGCTTGATGAATAAATGACAACGATAAGGTTCCTTGAGCAGTTAGCTACCAAGGAGTTACTAGGAAATTTTGTTCTGTTTGATTTTCTGTCTTTTTTGAAATTCTTCATTATCACAGGCCACATAGCCGAAGGCAAATTAAAGAAAATAGGATCACTACAACTGTGGAAACAACAGAAGCTGGAAATGAAAATCTACACGATTCCCTAGCTGTCATTACCATAGGAGATCACAGAGTAGCAAATGTAAAATCAAAGGAAAGTCATTCTTTTGGGCAAAATGAGTTATATTAACTCTTCAAATAGATAGGGAAACCTATTGAAAAAAATGAAGAGCTCTTGAAAATGCAACTCATGTTTATCAGTACAGCAACATGTGTTGCTTAATTCTAAAATGTCTCTGAATTCTTTACTGAATAGCTACAACTCAGAGGCTCTAAATGCTGCCAACTTTGCTGCTCTGACAGCAAAACCCTGGGAGCCTCAAGCTCTGTAGAATCAGGGGCTCCTCCAGTGTCACCGTGGCCAGTATTTGTCCTGATGAGGTGGGGCCTGTGCCTTCCCCATGGTTCATGATCGCTCCAGAAACAATCTTCCCTTAAGAGAGGACCATATCTCACCTTGCACATATTGGCCAGCCAGCTTTCTTCGCCCTTGTCTATGAATCCATGAATAATGAAGCGGGTTTTTCTGTCCATTTTGAAATTGGAGACCTCAATAGTTGATGGATCTGCAACAAGTTCCTATTTGGGGGAGGAAAGGGTTTGGCATCAAGTTTCTTGCAGCCTCCAGTTGTACATGGAGAGAGGTGGTAGGAGGAGAAGACAGCCCAGGCTCAGAAGCCTTGTGAGTAAGGATTCTCCCATTTCAACCACGCTATCTGCAACCATCCTGTTTCAAGTTGTTACTTTCTAGACAGCACAACATTTTTGCAGTTGTTCAACTTGGCATAATATGTCTGCCATGATACTGGTGGTAGAGGAGGTCTCATCTCCACGCGATGGAAGGATTTATGTGTATGTGTATTTTATATACATAAAATATGTTGAAATATTATATACAATACTGAGAGATTATACATGCGTATGTACACACACATATACACACATATATCAACACTTGAATTATTTTAAATGGTACCATAGGGTAGGATAAGAATAATAATATCAAGACAATGAACCCTTTATAAACAAAGTTACATAAAATAATATTTAAGATCACAGTCCTTAAAGCCTACAAAGATGTACATTCCACTGACTTGCTGTCTTTAGGAGACTAAAGCTTCAGTATCCTTATCACATAAAACAAATGGAACTCTGAAAACAATGAGCACTCTTACTTGAAAGGCGTTTGGGTTCTCATTGGTGTAGAGGAGGAAGCGGGTGTTGACCTCTTTGGGACTCCAGGGCAAAATTTTGAGGGGTCTTTCCACAATTCCTGCCCATGGGGCTTCATCGCTGAAGCAGCCAAGTCTTTGGAAGCAGAGTTCTTTTCCTACAATCACCCAGAAGGTTTCAAGGACATTAGTTTAATCAGAATGCTGTTTTTTAATAGTATCTCTGGCAAAATACAAGTTAAATTATATTTTGTGTCACATTTTCTTCCTCTACATCCCCAGATATCATCCTTTCTACACACTCACAGGACAGAATCAACAGACAATGTTCACACTACAGACTGGCTGCAGCCCCTCATTTCTACCATGTAGGACTACCTCACTCCCCTCATCTCTCTGTGCAGTCCTGTGTGGGGTCCCATTGAGCCTCTCAACTCAGATGTTGTCATTGATGGCCAAGAAAGAAGAAGCCTTGTGTCCCCAGGCCTTGGTAAGGGAGGCAAAGTCCTCAACTCCTTGTAGCCATCTTCTGGCTTTGGGCTTTGGGTGAGGAGCTTGTTTCAAGCAAATGCCAAAGCTTTATATCTCCAAATGACTGCATATTTAGGGCTCTGACCTCTGTTAAAGGGGCATCCTGGATGCCCGTGATGAAGAAGCTGCTGACAAGTAATCAAACAGATAATCCATGGTTTGACTCAACTCGAGACTTACATGTTACCCCATAACAGAACAACACAAATTAAGGGATCTTGAGGAGGACTAAGTCTAGATTAATAGCAGGAATAGGAGCAGTAGCTGTCGCGGGGGATGCATCCTCGAAATCTTGCTATGTGCCATGGGCTGGGCAGGGTGGTTGACATGAGTGAAGCTGCCCAAGTCTCCCAGTGATCCTGTGAGAGGGATGGCAGGATGTGCCCATTTCACAGATGACGACGGTGAAACCCAGAGAGGTTAAGAATTTTGCTCAGGGAAATATATTTGTGACTGGTGGAACCAGGGTTCAAACCCCACATGACACCAAGCTAAGGTGGCTAAATGTAGTGAATAAAAATGCAAGTTAGAGTATTAGATGAACAGTCAATATTTTTTAGAGAAAACAATCACATATCGTTTATCTGAGATTCAAATTTAACAGGGCGCCTTAGCTTTTATCTGGCCATCTCACCCCAAGCGCTTGTGCTCTTATTCATGGACTTTTCTTGTTCTATTCCTTGTTCTCATTGCAGCTTGAATTCAGCCTTCACAGCCCCTACTGAAAGTACTGAGCACCATATAAATATATTTACTCACCTACTACTGTTCCCAGCAGCAGTGCAAGTGTCAAGATTGGAAGCATCTAAACAAAGTTAAAAATATGAGTGAAGCTGGCTAAATTCATTTTTAAGAGATTGGCATAATTCAAGTTCAGCTAGACTTCCGGGGGAAAATAGGGAAATACTAATAAATTAGGCTTGGAAAACATGCCCCTGACTCACCGTGGCAGTTCCGGCAGGCCCCGCTCACAACCAGATGGAACCCGAAGGTCCTTTTATAGGCAAGCCTTATCTTTTTAAGCAGTTCCAAGGAAAAGTGACATGAAAAGAAAGGAGGTGCCAATGATATATTTCTAACTTTAATCATAAGTAAACCAAAAGTGATAGAGTAGGTAAATTTTTCCACAGTACTGGTGGGAAGACTAGAAAAGGATAGATAGGAACCATTCTCTTCCAGTCTGATTACACAATGCTCAGAATCACCGTGGTTTCATTGCAGCAAAGGTACTAGTCCACCTCCTTTTACATTTACAACTCTCTGTGTAGGTCAGTGGGTATGTGTAAACTAAATTGTTTTTACAGATTTGATAGCAACATTCTTTTTAAAAAATTTTTTATTTATTGATTTTGTGGGGGGAGGAGAGAGAAATCGATCTGTTGTTCCACTTACTGATGTGCTCAGTGGCTGATTCTTTTATATGCTCTGACCAGGGATCAAACCTACAACCTTTGTATGCGGGTCGACACTCTAACGAACAGAGTTACCCAGCCGGGGCGATAGCAACATTCTTGGAAATAAATACTAAAAGGTTACCTGCTTAGGCAGTTTTTGTATGACCTTGCCTTACCCTCAAAAACAGTGAAATAGAGGCAATTCTTCAAGAGAGTTCATTCCTTTCAGGAAGGCACTTGATATTTTATTTTACTAGTCCATAGAACTAGTTTACATCTCAGTAATAACATGGAAAAAAGCATAAATGAACTGACAAAAGGAACTGAAGTTACTTCTAGGAGCAGAGGGGTGAAGCCAGTGGTCCCCGCCATCCATTAAATTATGAATAAGAGAGAAAAATAAAATTCAACTTGAAAAAAATGGCTTGGGAAAAATAATTTGGAAGAAAAGGATTTGACAGAGAAGAACTTGTATATTTTCAGTTGGTGATAGATTGCTTAAAATAAATTTTAAGAAGATGATAATGGGATTCCATAATTTTAAGAGATTGTTGCCCTTTAGCCGGACGGGATCACACGTGCAGACTAAGTCACTTCAAGTTGCCACATTTGTAGGTCAAATACAGTCAAATAATTCAGTTCCCTGGCAAAGATTACAGTTACAGAAGAAAGCAATAAAGTTATTTGTATATGAGGAAAGTTCAAGAAAGTTGGGCACATGAAATGTTAAAATCAGGACAGAAGGCACAAGAAAGAATTCCATGGATGGTATGGACAAGACCTTTAACATATCCGCATTGAATGAATGAACAAAACTGTGAGGGAATGAAAATAAAAAGCAATCTATATTGCATAATTGCTACAGTGAAAACTGTCTATACAGTCTCACAGTAAACAACTGTGATTTTTCTGAAGCTCTTTTTACTCAAAACAAATATGCAAATGCCACCACCTCCCCTAAAAAGGGAACTGATGCTTACTTTGGGTTTACTATGAAGTAAAATATATTTTGTGTGAATTAGCAAATAATTCACACAAAATTTCTAAGTTGGCATTTTAGATAGCACAATTATTTAATCTATAATTTGAGTGACCTTTGTTCAATAGATGCTATAGAATTAGGACCAAAAGTCACCAAATTCTGATACAGAGACTAGAGTCCATGAGGAATTGTTCTATAAACTGAAATAGGTTCAAATTTTAGAATTTTTTGGGAAGATTCAATTTCCCAAACTGTTGTAAGAGCAAAGGAAGGAATCATACATAATTAGCAGTTTGTCAGGCAAGCTCTAGGTGAATGACCTCTGAAATTCAATCTTGCTGAACCCTGTAGCCGGGTTGTACAGTTTTATCAACCCTGTTGTCTCCTTCAGACCGCTAATGAGCTATCTCGGACTGTTATAGAGTATGTGGCAGAAGTTGGTGGCCTCTTCTTATATGGAATAGAACTAGACCTTATTACCCAATCTCCCTGGAAGGGAGATGGAGCACATGATCAACTTCCAGCCAATGAGCTGTGAGTGTATAGATGTGCACCAGTCCTAGTTCTTTCATAAAAACTCACACGTGGTCCTCACACATCTTGCCTTCCATAGCTTGATTGAGGCAAGTATGGTGACCTTGAAGGCCATAGTTGAAGCTGGCAGAGCCACAAGATGGAAGGGGTCTTGTTTCCCTGCTTACAGAAAAGCCAGCCATCAATCACAAAGACCCTTTTTGAATTTTTCATGAGCAAGAAATAAATTCCTATTGTTTTAAGCCACTGATAGTTCAGGGTTATGGCAAATACCATTACCTGAACTGATAGAGATTATTGTATTGTATGATGAGTTCTCCTACTTCCAAGAAGAGTTCAGTGCCAAACGTTGAATCCTGGGCTATAAATTTTGCCATAGGATCTGGATGGTACTTATAACACTGATACTTTGACAGATTTTTTTTTCTAATTCTTGCCTTTAAAACCTCCCTTTCCTGCCACTTCCAGAATTATAAAAACTGCTCAATTCTTCATTCCATTTTTGCAGAATTTTAATTTCAATGGGCATTTTCCAGTTCAGTCCTGAGAGTGACAGTTGTTTCACAAGCAGTCTGAGGCCATGTGATACCTCGGGGTTTAGTGGAAATTTACCCAAAGTTGCCTGGGCCCCTACCTGCAATTTATGTGCGATTGGAGCAGTTCAATCTGCTGGATACATAAGAAACTCCCAAATACCACAGGGAGGTGGACTGGCGCTCCCACCAAAACTCCGCTCCCTGCCAGCCTTTGTTACTCCTCACATCTCAGGACTGCAAGGCTGGAAGCTGGGCCGTGTAGAAGGTGATGGAGCCAAGGCAGTCCTTGCCCATGGAGCTCATGGATTTGCAACTGGGTTCTCATTGAAAAAATAACCTGGATTCAGCAGTTCATTATATAACTCTGACTCACCTTTGACTCTGAAACCTTGGACATTTAAAAATAAAAATCCCACACTTGGAAGTTACTAATCCAATACCTATGTTTGCAGAGGAGTTAAATATTGATGCAAGTTTAGGCTCCAATTCCAGCAACTTTGTGATACTAAACTCCAGGCAAGGGAAAGAAAAAGTCTGGGACACCTGTGTGGCCAGATAACTAGCACATGAACCAAACGAGGTCTCATTTACTTGGGCTTCAGAGAACCTCCCTTATCCAGTTCAGCCTCCTGCCAGGGCCATCAGTGGGAGGGAGAACATGCTGGCCTGGGGAAGCTGAACTTCCCTGAGCAGAAGACTGTGATGATCCGGGGTTGCTGGTGCCTCACCCCTTCCAGAGCGACCATGCTGTCAAATACGAGGGGGTTCAGTTCACCCTTACTGAGGGCATGAGACTGTAGCCAGCTGTCCTCCGTGATGCATGAAGATGGTTCACTTTGTGTAATAGAACAATGAACATACCTAAATTTTGATAGGATTCATCATTTAGCTTTACATACTTTCAAACTTTTTACATTTACTCTTCCACAGAACCTGGGAAAGTTTTAGTGATTTTTTCTTATGAAGACAAAGAGACTTAGAAAGTTTAAGCATCCTGCCTAAGGACACAGGGTTGGTAAGTAGCAGAGCTAAATCTAGAAGGGCAGATTCTTTCCACCAGCTCCTGATGACTGTGAATCCACAGAAGGTCATGTTCTCCTGGGTTGTGTTAGTCTAGAGTTGATCTAAAAACATGGTCAAGAATGGGTACCACAGGAAGTGTCAATATGTGTGTGTATGTACACATGTATAAGACCAGGTTCTGCTCTTCAAAACAAAGACATGAATATTTTAGGATAACTTATTTTGTTTGTATTCAGCTTCCTTGATACTAATGCAGCAAATGGCCATTTTATCAGATAAAATTGCTATTTTTATGACATTGAAGATAATAAGGATTTCTTTTTTGGGCCTCCACAGTATTTTCCTGATTGCTTTTCTTGCCCTTAGACTGTCCCCTCTCTTGTCTGCCCTCTATACACTACTGGACAGTCAGGTTTCAATTGAAGACTGGCCATGCCATTGTCCTTCTTAAAACCCCAGCCTGCTTCTCCTTCTTTCTAGACCCAGTGGAAAATGTGTGTGTGTGTGTGTGTGTGTGTGTGTGTGTGTGTGTGTGTGTGTATTAAGCCACATAAAGAAAAAAGTACAAAAGAAATAGGTGCAATACATTTTAATAATGTATGTAACCTAAAATATCACCATTTCAACACGTGGTACTAGCCACATTTTAAGTGACCAATAGGTCCTGTGGCTAGTGCCTATTGTTTTGGATAGTACACTTCTAGATCAAATGTACTCTTCTTAACATCACAAATAAGACTTTCAGGATTTGGTTAGCTTCTTTGAGGTTTCTAACCTTATTGTATAACCATTTGACCCATTTTCCAGCTACTCTGAACTCTTTTCAAGGTATAAACTATCAACAGGTTTGAATGGGACACAGAGATAGTATACTTAGAGAACAGAGTGACAAGATTTTCCAGATGTCACTGAGAAGGAAGAGAGAGCAAACAGGTAGAGATGTAAAATTCAACAGAACAGAGGCCACAGCTTGGATACTGGGAGCTGTGATGGAAGGGGGAAAAAGACAGAGTAAGCAAAAGAAAGAGAAAATAGGGGGTAAAGAGGGAAGGAAAGAAGGGAGGAAGGAAGGAAGGAAGGAAGGAAGGAAGGAAGGAAGGAAGGAAGGAAGGAAGGAAGGAAAAGAAATTAAGCTCATAATTTGTATGATTTTTTTGCTCCCTACTTATGTTTTGGGGATCAATTTGAAATGACTGGAGGATCCTCAGGGGGGCAGGCAAAGCCAGAAGCTGCCTTACTATGTGCATTTCTATAACCAGCTTTGTAAGTCAAGTAGCAAAGTACATTAAAACATTATAAGCTGAGGGACGTCTACTTTTAGCCATGATGGAGCAAC